TCCAAAAAATACTCCTTTGCTAAGCTCACATAATGGACTTTGTATTGAAAACGGGGCAAGGACATTAAAAGCAATCATACTTGCTTTTGTCCTACCCAAACGAATTTTTGTTGCAATATGGGAATCAGAATACATTACTGAAAGCAACTGCGTTGTGCAATCTAATGGATTATAGGAATGAGCATGTTTAACAGTGTGATACACGTTTGTCACTTCTGCGGCCAGTATTTTTTCTTGCTGAGAGTTCATAGCTTCTGTTTGACCCAAAAATGATTGTAGTGTTTTATTTTGTTTTACCACAACTTCGTGTTTTTTATGATCAGCACCTTCCGCGTGCCTCTTTATGTCACCCAGACCTCCATACATACATGAAAAAGACTTTTTACATAAATTGCACCTAGCTTTTTGATTATCTTCTGTGAGCCAATTAAAGGTATTTTCCCATTCTTTTCTATATTTATTTATTCTTTTAGCCTTTTTTGGAGGTGTTGTTGGACCATCTTGTTCATCCATTTTACAAAATACTAAAAGAAGCACAAAAAATGCTTTAGTAAGTATCAAAATATTTTTCAACCCAAAAAACTTACCTTTTAATTTCTAATGGTCAGAAAGAAAATGCATATAAGGTTTACTAAACACTTTAAAAAATAATAAACAACTATATACTTGCAGGCTGCTGACAACAGTAATAACTGAATTACTGAATACCTGGTACTAAATATTATAAATTATAACCTCAGTCCTCAAAACCCAACATTTAGTAAACACCACAAATCGCCAAATCACCGCGCAGGTCCGTCGCGCTCGCGCTGTTTGTTGGAGACACGCGTACATGCCGAAAAGCGATCTGTGGTTAGTATGGTATTTTTTCTATTCATCAAAAGATGGCGCGAGTATATAATTACGTTCGTAATAAACGAAAAATGGCACGGGCGCAGCGCCGCGTAAAAAAATCAATTTGTTATTTAATCTTTTTTAAAATCCAGGACATTAGGCGTCCTTCCTGAGGTCTTCGCAGGACGCTTAAGTTATAGCCTCAAATCCAGGACATCCTGCGAAATCCAGGACACCTGGCAACCCTACACACTGTCTTTATAAAGTCACTATACTCTGAAAGGGCTAAGGAATCGTAATTTTTTGAGCTGGGTAATTCGGGTGCGGTTAGTTTAGTTAACGTTTGGTAAATTTTCGGGTTTAAATATCCTATTATGTAGAATTTGCGTACAAAGGCTATCCTTGTTTGGGGTAGTACCCAGTACCCACGTAATTTTAAGAGATTATCCAAAGGCTGTAAATAAGAATCTAACGATTGATTGTTTTCGTCGTAAGGATGCCAATTATCTCTCGTAATTGGTGTTTTATTTTGTGTAAGCATTAACCTTTGTGTATCCTGTATTGATTTGAGAAATGAGGTAATTTCTCCAAAAATTTGCGTGTAATCGACGTTAGAAGTCTCCGCCATTTTTGTTATTTTCCGTAATTTGGGAAAATTATCAGGAAGTAAGGATACGCCTAGAGGGATGTCAAGGCTAAAGGTAGGTAATGTGAGCCCTTGATCAGAAGGCTTATTTAATTAGGTTTGGACTGTGTAAATTTTACGCATTATGTTTGCCAAGGTTACGTTTTAATCCTCGGACCTCGTCGCCAGATTTGTAGTGTTTGTAAAGGATACACAAGCACTGATTTATTTAAACACAAGCGTGAAAATTTATCACTTAACGACACAAGTACAAAATAACGAAAAACGTGCTGTTAACAAAACCGTGCGTTATGCTTATGTTTTTTTCTATTTCGGTGTAAATGAGATTTTTGTACAACTGTTTTCGCCAAGAACAGTATCACGAAGCACCTGAACCACTTTATACACAACAATTAGTAGATTGTTAGGTATACTCATCGGCACGAAAAACGGAGTCGTTTCAGTCAGTTTAGCACATCACCAATTTGTGCTTTTACGTCATGCTTTTAGCGAAGTTGAGGTAAAGCTTATGTGCTCGATTTTCGTCGTCCGCCTGTCCATCGAGATCGCGGCCCCTGGGGCACCTAGAGACTTCTGGTTTTGGCTAATTGATAGCTGTTATGGTCTATATTTGCTCGTTACGTATCATTTACAGTTGTTATGCGACAACACCCACGAGTGGGTTTTGAAACATTTTTTTTATTGCTACAAAACACTTCTTTAAAAAAAGTTTCAATTGTTGGAAATACTGTTTTACACCTCATCTCAAAGAGTGAAAGCATTAAAATTTTAAGTTTGTTTAACAAATTCAACTGCTCGTTTTCCGTGCTAGTGAGGATATTTATTAATGTAATTTATTGTTGATGTATTGTTAATGTTCGAGTACAGCTACTTTACGTTTGAATTATTTTTTCATGTTTTAAAACTAGTGACTTGTCCTTGATTTTTCTAAAAATAAGCAATCTTACAAAATAATGATCAAACGTAGCAATGTCTTTGGTCTTTACATTTCCACTTATCTAGTTCGGGATCTATTAACTCCTTTAAGCGTTCAACTATTATCTTACGAATATTTCTTTCACTTTTAAGCAGCTCAAATAGTATAATTTGTATAATTTGACAAAGCGGGTTTACTGAAATCATATTTTTCTTTGTAGTATTTTTTAAACACAAGACGTGGGCCACTTTTTGAAAATAATAATTTTATTGTTTACTCATCCAGTAGTGGGAAACTTTGATCGGTTATCCCTTCCTCTGAAATTGTCATAGGTATACTTAATGATATCATAATTCATAATTTATTATAGGATCAGTAAAGTACGACCTTTGATAAGACGTAAAAATAAAAAAATGTTCAATTGCTATACTAAAATAGGTAAACCTATTGTGGGTGTTAAAGAACCGAGCCCAAAATAAAGCCTTTAGGCTGGCTTAATTTGTAATTACATTTAAGCCAAACATTGCGTTAAAAAACAATAACTAGGGCGAGTAGCATATTCGGATGTGGCGCCGTCTGGTAGCGAATTTAACATAAGATGTGGTGAAACAAGTTCATCGACCGTTTATTACTGTATTACTATTTACAAGCTTACTCCAAATAAAACAACAATTATGACTTCGAAAAACACTTTTCGTTCGTCCAGAGTTTCTTGTTGTGGTGTTGGATGCAGTAATTCGTACATAAATATGGACTCTTCTGTAAAATTGTACAGCTTTCCCAACAAACTATATGAATTGCAAAGAAGAGAAAATTGGATAAAGAAAGTGAGAAGAGTGTAGGTACCTACACATCTGTTTTGCTATTATTTTACATAGTTTCGTCTTCAGAACGGCCGTTTTTTTTTTATTTTTCTTTTGTGTGCAATAATCCAATTTGAGGTTATGATCAAGCGATTAAAAGGGATCCCCGCGTTAAATGACTTGTAAAACGGCCCCTTGCTCCCGACTTGTTGTGTAGACGGTTTCCTGATATTTTCCAATTTTCACCCACCAAAGAATATATTAAAAATGGTGTTTCTGGAGACAATTCTTGTCAGAAATCGTGTTCTTATTTATACATCTCTATATATAAGAATGAACCCCTGTTTCTTCTGGTCACGCAATAACTTTAGAACGACTTTACCGATTTCATTAATCTTTTTTTTTTTAAGTTTTCTAATACTGTGTAGAAGGTTTTTACGGCAAGAAAAACTAAGAAAATCGCGCATAAAATTGGAAAATTTGAGAAAACTTAACGACTATTTAAACATCGCGCGTTTGACGGCGCGGCAGCAATTGTTTTAACAGCTACATCGATCGGCATATACCTATCCGTCAAAAAATTAATTTGTGTGCTGTCAATTCGATCGGAAAGTTTATCCAGATTTCAGTGAGTTTTTTTAGAAATGTCGATGTTATTTCACCGCAATCACGCCTTTTATATTAAAAGTTTTTTTGGTAAGTGTTAATAGACTAAACACGTGGTATACATAGTTATACAGAAAAACTAGGGAGTTAATTTCTATTTTCAGTTGAATATTAGTTTTTTCAAGATGCTACTAATTAGACGTACCAACATAACATGGTACCAACTTAGGTCGCAGAATTTGAAATCCTACAAGTCAAACATACCGGGTGGTGCACGGTAAGTAGGAATAGGGATTTAACATGGGAAATTAGTTTTACGCAATATCCTGCCCTCCTCTACATTTTACAGAACAAACTCTAGAGTTTAAAGTTGTTCAGAATTAAAGGGTGCATACAAAACTGTTTTTACATGTTTTATTAAGCTTTTGGTACACCCGCAAATTTAAAAATAAATTTCAGCATTTCTGTTATTAGTAGCAATAGCCATGACTTTTGTTGTTTTATGAATTGCTATACTAATAGATAACAGAAATGTTGAAATGTATGTTTAAATTTACGGGCATACCAAAAGCTTAATAAAACATGTAAACTATGTGTGTCCACATTGTAAGGCTTTTAAGTTTAAAACTGAATCCCCGGAATTATTTTGCGCCAGTGGCCAAGCGAAATTGACGCCATTGGTACCGCCACCAGAGCCACTTTGGTTTCCGGAAATGGGCCAAATTCTATACATTTTTTTACGCATCCAGAAATACAACAATTTCTTTCAAATTACGGCATTTGGCACAGCAAAAAAAGGTACGTTGCTAGGTCTGAATCCCCAAAAGCAGCGTAGAAGTGAGGGCGTATATTTTTTATTATTTTGGGGAGAGATGGGGAGATTTTGGGCCAAGTGTGTCAAAATCTCTTTTCCGGCTACACGGTTGAACCGATTGGATCTGGTACACATATTCTTAGACATAAGAGGGCAGAATCGCGCATGCGCAGGTGGGGCGGGTGGTACCTGCGCTAGGCACAGCGAATTTCTTGAAATAATTGTTATTATTTATTTCAGTTCAAATTGATTAGGTGTGCATAGCTAGGAAAGAGGACAACGTCCGTCGGGTCAGCTAGTAAGACATAAAAATAACATTTCACTTATTTGATGATATTTATTATTTGCAATCTTTAACCTTTGTGGTGCATTTTTCAACCACACCTTTATGATGTCTTCTATTTGTCTTTCTGACGATGGCGAAGTAGCTTTGACAGCACCTATTAATAATGTTTATTATAAACCAAATCTTAAAACCCTTAAGAAGTACTCACTGACAACAGCAGCTTTTAGGTGAAATGAATTGAATGAAAACTTGTTCAATCGTTTTCCCAAGAAACTATATTGGCTTGCTACTTGATCCGATAATAAGCGTCTTAGTATATTATTAACTTGATTAGGAGTATTGTGACCTCCAACACTGGCAAAATAATTTACCTGTAATATTACAAAACTTTTATATCGATAATCTACATAATTACTATAGGATTACCAAACTGTTGAAATCGTCTACATTTGATTGCAGATGATCTTCAAGTGTTAAAACGTCTTGTTGGGTTAATATGGGCAAAGACACTGGTAGGTCTGGCAGACAACGGTGTGGATTAATTGATGAACTTTTATTTTGTTTATTTATCATGGAGATTATTTGGTCATTTTGCGCTTTAATGTGCAGCAAAACTGATAATATTTTTTCATTATTACCACCTAAGAACAATGTTACCACATAAAATTAACACGATATTTTATTACCTGAAGAACTGACTAATGTAACATCTTTTCCCGATACCGAATTAGGAATAGGAGTATCTGTAAAAACTTGACATTTCTGAAACAACTAGCATTTATAGGGGAATGGGGGGCAAAATCGGGTATCTAAGGGAATAGCGCTCCTGAATATTAATGGTACACGTTTTCCACTCAAAACTTTGTTGTAATCATATACACTTATTATAAAATGATATAATACTTACTAACTATGAAAATAAATTCATTCAATAAAGAAAAAAAATGATATATATTCACTTGCAGAATACGGTTTTGCCCCTACCCACGGGGCAGAACCGTATGGATCATGGGGCAAAACCGGACATCGTTTATTCACAGTCCATGCATTCAAAACTGTCTATATCTTCGTCTAGCCAACCTGTGCAGCCTTCGTGTAAGGGTACATTGTGAAACAATAACTGATTGCTGTAAAAAGTAGTAAAATTAAGATACAAAAATTTTGGATAGAATCGGTGTAGAAATTCAAATTTCCTAATGGGGCACAACCGGGTACTATACGGTTTTGCCCCATCCGGTTCTGCCCCGATGCATCCATTTTTATTTGATATCGCGTGTAAAAAATTATAAGCGAAAAATGTCGCAGGTTTTGCATTAAAACTACCTTATCACATCCTACTTAAATGTGTTTTAACAATATAAATGCGATTACGCACTCCTTTAGTTAATTGTTAACGGTATAAAAAGGAGTGAAAATAAGATCACTCACCTTTAAAAACACAATTTTCACAATATACACCATATGCTCTGATCTGTATGACTCCAATTCATATAGGGTACGTTCCACTTAACGCCCGTAACGATCACGACCGCGACCGCGGTTTTGTCGTTCCACTAGCTTAGAGGCGTTGTGGGCGAAACCTTAAGTGGAACGCTTTTGAGTACGATGTGACGTCACGCGTGAGTGAACAGTTTTCCAACATGGACGTCGTTGAGGAGTTCGTAATACGTAAAGGATACAAAGTGGGGTGGATTATGAATTCAAGAGTCACATTAAGTTTTTTATTTTTTTTTTATTTTTAATTTTAAAATATTGAAAACGACTTTTGAATTTCTATCATAAATGCTGCGGCCATACTTAATACGATGATAATGAACACTTCTCCCCAGAATTTCTTCTGGGAATGCTGCTTCGAAAACAATTTCTCTTTTTCATTCAAAACTAACGTGCATTCTCATTTTCATCCATCGTTGCATTACCATTTATAATCTATCATACTCATCCATAAGATCTACAATAAAGAAAATTGTGTTAAAGCAGAATTTTCCTTAACAAATAACTTTAACATTCACGAATCAGCATATATACTTACCAGTTTGTGCATGTAGAACATCCATAATGTAATGTCCACCATAAGGTTACGTTCTGAAACACGTAATTATATTTTCTCCATAGCGAAAACGAAAAATTTGTAACGCATGCGTGTTCAAACAATCAGTGTCTGACAGTTAAATGTCTCTAGAAATGTCTCCTGACAAGAATGTAAGGTTATAAAATTAGAACGCCCACGCTGACCCAGGTACGATAGGCGAGCGCCGTGGGCTCGTTGCGGTTGCTAGTAATGACGTCATATCTGACGTCGCGACTGCGACCATAACGACTGTGGTCGTTATGTGGAACGGCAGACGGGCGTCGTGGTCGTTGCGGGCGTTAAGTGGAACGTACCCTAGTGTACTACAACTGTCAACGTGACAGTTAAGTTACTATTTTATTTAGAAGATGGCAGCATCACATTACCGCGAAAAGCAGGGTACCCGGTTTTGCCTCACTACCCGGTTTTGCCCCCCATTCCCCTATATTACACTAAAAGGCAGAAACAGACTGTCGTCATGTCACGTGCCAGCACGCTTCCATATGTACCATCACGAAAATCTAGAACATAGAAACACATGCCCTTGATCAGACCATTGTCACCTCATGCCAGTTCTTTTTTGCTTTGCCTCACGTGACGTGACAATAGTTTGTTTCCGCCTTACCACGCAATCAAATTGTGTACCTGAATTCACATGGCGGAGTATACTTTTGGATTTAATTGTACTGCTTGTACTTGGTGTTGTATGCACTGCTTCCTCTACTTGTGAATACACTAAAATCAAAATTTTCATAATTTGAACTTACACCTTTATTAAAAAAAGATCGAGCCATTAAAGAAAAAGCTTACAAGAATGAGTATCGCTGAGGACAGTTCTAATTTGAGGAGGTCGTGGAAGAGTGTTACTCGAATCTTCATCCGATGAACTATCTGCAATTTGCAGCCTACGCGGTAAAACTCGTTTCCTTTTCCTCTCTTCCTCCCCACTCTCGCTTTGCAAATCTGGTGTCTCTTCTGCCTTCCGTAATTTCCTTCGAGCACTCTCAAAATCGTCTTAAAATAATAATTACACAGTGTAATTAATTACATTAACATAACGCTTACCACACTGCACAAATATTCTTTCTAAGGCATACAACTTCCACTTTTCTGTATCAGGCAATTCTACCGATATCAAAATTTTATCAAATTTGCCCGAATCCTTAGCTGGCGGCCAGAAACATTCCTTTTTTCTCGGAGTTAACCATTGCGACCTAATAACGGCTAAACCTCCTCCAGAATCTCTGCTAAATTCTATGACGGAATACATTTTAGTCACAACCTATAACACAAAGTTATATACGAGGTTATGTATGTGAGGTTATGAGACACGAATTTCTCATAATAAAGGCAATGAAAGTGGAAACAATTGCCGAGTTTGGTATACCCCGACATGGTAAATGTTTTTGTTACTTACCAAAGAACGTCGACAGATGAAACTGAAACACGCAACAAAAGAATATCACACACGCGTTTTATTGTTGAACTGCGACATCAGCACAAACATGGGGTACGTTACGCTAATAAGCCCCCCAGGTATGATCATGAAATTGATAGAAATGGATAGAGGACACCTTAATAACACGTTTAGATTAAACAAATTTGCGGAAGAGGGCCTAAATTTTCCACAATCTTAATTAAAAGTTCACCTCATTTTCTGGAAATCTGGTGTTATTTTACGTATATTTTGTAATTCTTAAGTCTATAAATTACGTTTTCAAGCTGTGACATTTGGACGTGTACATTGACGTCAATAAGAGGTCATTATATGACGTTAATTCATCTTAGTATGCATGAAAAAATGACGTATTGAAAACGTCTGTGTGCCAACTGGGCTTCTGAATCCATCTAATTTTTGTATTCGATGGATTGGATCCAAGGTTAGTAAAGTTAATAGGTTGCATGGTAACTACTAGCAACCATAACGAAGAGAGGGGGCCGAAGTACGAATGACGTCACAGTGTGCAAGTGACAGCCATTGAACTGTATTTAAGGCAGCAAGATTTAAATTTGAAACCATTTTAAATTGGCTTTTGTGATATTTAAAACTTGTTTTCATTGTGAGATCAGGTAAAGGTAAGTTCTACATACCAGTTAATATACTTATTAATCAAGGCACGTGCAAAAAAGTCTTCTCCTGTGCTGGAAAATATACATACATGTAACCTGTACTTCTTTTAAACTTTATATTCGATGTCTGTCGAATCATATTATAGCTTTCACGGGAAAAGAGTTTTTCTTGCCCGTTGTTGGAACGAATCAAGATTCGACATTCTTACATATCAATGTAACTAACGTTAATATTTTTTTAGATGTCGGGAGGTATGATGTGCAGTGTGGCAACCTGCAAAAGTAACAGGCGTAAGGTCACAGGTGAAAGCCTAAAATTTTTCAGTTTCCCCAAAAACCTGGTAGTACAAAAACAATGGGTACAAAAATGCTACCAAAGAGATAAGTTTGATACGAAGAAAGAAAAGATTTGTAGTAAGCATTTTCAGCCCAGTGATTACGAGGATGAAGTGATGGCTAATATAATGGGAATTCCTGCCAAAAAACTAAAAATAGATGGTAAATGTTGTAAATATCCGATGTCTTGCTATACCTCATAATTTTTGCAGCCATACCATCATTGTATCTACCATTTTCTCGTAAAGAAACTATCACTGAGTCCTCTAGAAAAGAAAGAGCTGCAAGACGAGAAGGAAAGGATATAGTACAAGCGTTGATTCAAGAACCAAGCTTAGAAGTTACTGCTGCGATTGAAGTTTCACCGATAGTTGAACCAATTGAACAATCACCCAGCATTAATATCTCAGGGACGGTATTGGACAGTCGTGATAATGAGATAAACATCCTTAAACTCCCGAACTCAATGAAAGCTTCAGTTCGGAGAGTACTGCTTCTGATGCCCCATTAAGAAAATCTTGGGTGGAAGATGATGGTACTCAATATTTAGCAGGATTTATTGCTAAGAAATTTATACATAAATACCCATACCTAGGTGGGCACAGTTACAAAGATGAAGAGGCTCTTAATTTACATTCTTACGCCATGCCCTCATGGGTACAAAGTCTATCGTTCGGGGGTCTGATTCAGCCACCGGCTGAGTGGATGCGTCAGATGCAAGTTATGGAAACTTACTTTATTAAATTCCACAAAGATAATTTTTCTCCAGGTAAAATAATTATTAAAAGGACAACAAACTACATTATCAAAAAATTGCAAAAGAAAAAAATAGATGTTCCATATGAATTAGTGAAATCATTTTCGAAGCAAAGAATTTTTATTAGAATTAAATATCTAAATTTAAAAAGAGAATGTACTGATAGAAAAAGAAGTTCTGAAGGTGCTGAAAGAAAAAGAAAATGTAAAATAAGGAAAACTATTAATTAATTTTTGTATTTGTGCTTTCATGTGTTATTATTAACTTTTAAATTTTATACTATAGTCACTAATTAATAATGTTTGACAAAATAATGATAAATTTTAATCTGTACATTAAGTGAAGTACTGAATTATTAATTAATTAATTATTAAGAATAACATGTACTTATTTAACAATCTTGTAAATTAGATAAGATAAGACCGTAGTTAATGATTAATAGATAGGAATTCAGGCGTTTGAATAAGGATAATGTAAGACTAAATCTGCTAGTGATTACTTACCGACTGTGAAGTAGTTTATCTGATTAGGATTATTAGTATTTATTTAACATGTGATCAGTTACCCGACTGTGATTCACATATGTGAACGCTCACTTTCTCATACTTTACAATATGCCAGGAAAAGAGGATTCCGTGCTGGTACTCGGGTAGAATTGCTTTATGTATTCGTAAGTCTTGTTTCATAAATTACACTAGCCTTTGTGGTCAGAAAACCATTTCCTGTCTGTAGTGTTTTTTTTAGAAACTACGACACTTTGTTAGCAATTTGACATATCCTAAAAGGTAATAGGCATAGAACTTTATAAAAAACGTCATTTAACGGCTTTGTTTTTATTTTTTATAACAATTTAGGAGTAAAAGGAAACATACTCCCACTTTCAACTTTGATGTAAATGTTCATAACCACACATCGCAACACAGAAATGTATGTATGTTATCATAACTTATATATGTACCTCTTGAAAGAACGCAATTAATATAGAAAATATCCAAAACTGGAGGAATTAATTAAAATTTTGAAAATCAGTGTTTAGCTGTTAAAATGGATTTGCACAAAGTTACGTCACACGCTCGTGGTCCCCTATTGGCCGAAAGTTACCATGCAACCTATTAAGTTTACTAACCTTGGATTGGATCCGTGTTTACATTTGACAGCTTAACCTCACTTTTGCTCAGCTAACGTATTATAATGACCTCTTAGTGACGTCAATGTACACGTCCAAATGTCACAGCTTGAAAACGTAATTTATAGACGTAATCTAAACGTCATCTAAATGCTCCATACTTACGTCAACTAACGTATTATAATCGTCTTCAACATTATTGCAATGACGTTCAAATGCGTATAATAAACGCATTTTCGATTGTGTAAATATGTAAGGCTTCTTCCGCAAATTTTTTAACTGATAACATGTAGGTAATTAAGGTGTCCTCTACCCATTTCTATCAATTTCATGATCATACCTGGGGGGCTTATTAGCGCAACGTAACCCAAACATGAAACACGTGGTTTAGTGGAGTTACAAGGCGGCAAATTCAAAATTGCAGAATGCAATGAATACACTGTCGCCGCTTATTTCGTGATGTTCACGTATAATTTATGTTTCTAGCATTTCATAACATTTTTTACAAGAATATGAATTATAAGCGATGCATCTCTAGTTTGATAAAAAATAAAACGTTTAGAGTACGACAAAATGTCGTTATTAAAAGACGACAAAAAAAGGTAGCACAAATGTCGTCACTAAAACGGATGCCATTGGTCATATGACGTCTTAGACGATAAAATACCTTCAAATGACGACATTAAAACGTACGTGTGCTATCTGGGAGGGTAAGGGGATTACCGATCCTGATCTAAAAATGACTTAGGTGGGGACTGATCCTAAAACGAAAAGAACACGATCTTTGAATCCAACTCCTACATAACGCGGTACGATCAGAATTATTGGATGAAAAGAAAGGGGCTACTGTAATCGAGCAGGACCCTCCCACTTTAAACCATGTTTCACAAACTTATTGGGTACGTTCCACTTAAGACCAGCAACGCGCATACTGCAAATGTTAGCGTTCCATTAAGGGTGCGGTCGAGAATTTACTACAAAAAAGTGTAGCAATTTAAGTAAAGCAATCCAAGTAAACCGGTTTTTTATTACATCTATACTCGGGTTGCAATTTTTTGCACTTTTATTTTAGGACCACTCTGGGGCTTGCATTGAACATCATTATCATATAACCTCAAAATAGTAAATTAATTTTTATTTTAAGTTTTAAATAATTAACTTTAAAATTATGAACGCTTTAAAAATCATGTTGGCTCAGCAGTTATTGGAAATAATTTTTGATGAATCTAGTAGTTCCGATGAAGAAGTGTTTTTATTAACAGCAACGTATTCTGAAAAGAAAAAGGAACCTTTGCCTAGAATACAAAATTATGTTGAAAACGTTCGTTTGTATGGAAATGCTCAATTTCAATCTCATTTTAGGTACCTATTTATAGGGATAAATATACCAGTTGTAATTGTATGCTATATTTTCTAGAATGCAAAGGGTAACTTTTGAAATGGTTTTAAAATTGATAGCTCCCAAAATTCTCGTAAAAAGGGCGAGACCAGGGCGACCTGCTATACCAGCAGAAAAACAATTGCTTATAACATTATGGATCTTAGGAACGCCTGATTCTTACAGGTTAAGTTTCTGTAATAAATTTTAGTCTATTGTAAAAGAACTTCAATTACAGGTCAGTAAGTGATCGCTTTAATGCCTCTGCAATATATTGTGTAAGAAATGTAGTCGGCATTTTAAATCAATTATCCAATCAATTTATTACATGGCCAACAAATGAGGGAATGATCACCAGTGCAGCAGCCTTTAAAGCAGTATCCGGTTTTCCGGGTGTTATAGGTGCGATCGATGGCACTCATATTTCAATTACAGCTCCCAAAGAACACTCAGAATCATATGTTAACCGCAAAGGAGTACATTCTATACAACTACAAGTATGCTTTTTATTTATTGAAACAACGTTCAAATTATGTTTTACAGGGACTTTTCAAAAGATTTATGGCCTGTGACCGTTGATTCATTTTTTCTTCGTGATGCCTTTGCCGGTCATCACGTATCTTAGTAAGGACATCAACCACCTTTCTATTAGCAGTTCCTGTGTAATTCATGTGTCAATCATAATTTGTGTACAGTAGGTAGGTACTATACCATACTTTGCAATCCTTGTGCTGCTAATCCTTGGCCTTTCCGCAGTTGGAGTTGAAGATGAAGATGAAGCAGCATTCATTTCAGGAAAATTAATTGTTACAGTTTCCACCGAAGAAGACGCTGTTGCCAGGGGTTCTATCCATGGCTTATTGCCAAATAAATTATCCATTTTCTAAAAATTTAACATTTATAGTCACGTCTAGGGGAGAGTGGGGCAAGTTGACGTGGTTAAGGAAAAACAAATAGAAAAAATACTTTCTACTTTTTTTTAACTTCTACTATATTTGTAACATAACTTAAGCACTTCCTGCATTATGTCACCCAAAGATCAAATAAATGTATATCAACAAGAAAAGAAAATATAAAAAACTAATTTGGTGCATTTTCGTCAACTTGCCCCTTATATTACAAAATACAAAAAATGAAAACGTGATACATGCTCGACACTGGTTCAACATGCACCGTGGTTGACGAAGCGCAGTTTTTGTGTGTCTCTGTCATTTATCGGCAGTGTTGCCACTTCCGATACACTACACCACTCTCCCCTTAATGTAGTTACAAATCATTACAAATCTAGTCTAATTGGTTTCCGAATATTTCTTTTCGGCCTTGAAGATTCTATTGGATGTACATTTTCATTAACCGCTCCATTTACAATTTGATTAGGTGATTCATGAGAATCATACAAGTTTGAAGTATTATAATGATTGTTACAATTTTTCTCCTTATCTAAAAGTTCGTGACCACCTTTTCTATCACTACCACTCACATTTTTACACTTAAACATTTGATCTAGATTACGTTTCCACAGTACTCCTAATTGTTCTACATTACACCAATAAGATCTAGGTCCTATCACTTTTACAATTTTAGCCTTAACCCATGTTTCCTTTTCACCCCTATAGTCTTTAACATATACTCTATCACCCTCTTTAAATGTTTCGTCCCTACCTCTATTTACAGCTTTACTTAACCTAGTTAGAGTACTATTCTCCTGTTGAAGCAAATGGTGTCTAGTGAAAATATTTCTATTCAACATTTTGTAGGATGGAGTTTCTCCAGTCGTGCAATGTGGTGTCGTGCGATATTCCAACAAATAACGTGCTAAAATTGTGTTTAATGAAGTATTCAGGTTTCTAGGATCATTTAATGCTTTCTTAATACCCTTTTTAATTGATTTCACTGCGTTTTCAGCAGCACCATTCGTCGCAGGATGGTAAGGTGCTGTTAGAGTGTGCTTAATACCATTGACTTTACAGAAATGTTTAAACATTAACGCAGTAAACTGGGGTCCATTATCAGAGATTATCAGTCTCGGTAATCCCCACCTAGCAAATATACTTCGTAAAACCTCAATTGTAGTCTCTACTCTTGTATTTGAAAGAATACATACTTCTGGCCACTTACTATATGAATCTACTAGCACTAGAAACATTTTATTTTGAAATGGCCCAAAAAAATCAATATGGACTCTTTCAAACGGTTTTGAAGATTCTAAATAAGGAATAACCGCCGCCTTTCTAGGGTTGGGTCTCTCTAAACTACAAGAACTACAATTCTGTACGATTTTTTCTATGTCCCTATCTATAGAATTCCACCAAAAAATTGACCTTGCTTTACTTTTCATTTTTACTATTCCAGCGTGTGTCATGTGTAGCTCATCCAAAAGTTGAATCCTAAACTTTAGTGGAATAACCACCCTATGACCCAACATAATAATACCATTTTCAATAGTTAGCTCTAACCTTCTATTATAATAAGGAAAATTTTTTGAATTTTCTGGCCAACCGTTCAGTATATATTTGTATAATTGACGAAATTCTGCATCTTTTTGAGTTTCTATTCTAACATCTTCAACTACTATTGGTAGACTATCATTTTCCATAACAAAATTTAGAAATGAGTGTCGTTTCCTAATAATTTTATTTTCCTTACATTTTTTTAAGGGTAAGCGAGACATACAGTCTGCACTATAATTTAATTTTCCTTCTACATACTTTATTTCAAAATCAAATCCATTTAGATATACCGCCCACCTTTGCATACGCCCTGCTGCAATTTGTGGAATGCCTCGTTTATCACCAAATAAATAAACCAACGGTTTGTGATCTGTGCATAATAAAAACCTGTGTCCTATTAAATAGTGTGCACATTTCCTAACACAATAATAAATAGCTAAACTCTCTTTATCCAACATTGAATAATTTTTCTCTGCTGAATTTAAAGTTCTGGATATGAAACATATTGGTTTTTCGCTTCCATCTGCCATTACATGTGACAAAACTCCCCCTACGCCATATGCACTTGCATCACAAGAAAGTTTAATAGGTAAATTTGGATCGAAATATACTAATACATTATCTGACGTTATTATTTCTTTTGCTTTCAAAAAAGACTCCTCACAACTCTTATTCCAAACAAAATCCACATCTTTTCGCAAAAGGTTATATAATGGGTGCAACAACTCAGTAATATTTTGTATAAATTTGCAATAATAATTTAACATACCCAAAACAGATTTAACCTGAGAAACATTCTCTGGAGTAGGGCAATCTAAAATTGCTTTAACTTTTGAAAGATCCTTTTTCAGGCCTTCTTTACAAATAATGTAACCCAGATACTTGATCTGATCTTGAAAAAATTTACATTTTGTCTGTCTCAATTTAAACCCTGCTTGTAATAATTTTTGGAAAACTTCTCTTAAATTTTCTAAATGCTCTGTGTCATCTGCACCTGTCACTACTACACAGCCCTTACAACCCTGCAACGTCTTTTCAATGATCTGCTGAAAAATTGCGCAAGCTGGTTTTGTTCCAAACGGTAATCTATTCATTTTAAAAATTCCCTTATGGGTGCTCCAAGATAATAAAACCTGAGTACTCTCCTCTAGTTCTAGTTGATTATACGCATGCTTTAAATCCAGTTTCGAAAACTTTTTGCCATTTGCTAATTTACTGAAAAGTTCCTCAATACGAGGTAAAGGATACTTAACATCCTCTAAAAACTTATTTATAGTTAATTTATAATCTGCACATAATCGCAATGACCCATCACTTTTAAAAACAGGCACCAAAGGAGTACCCCATTCCGAATTATCAATCAAAGTTATTACATTATCCTTTTCTAATCGGTCTAACTCCTTTTCAACTAAATTCTTATATGCAATAGGCAAAACCCGTGGTTTAAGAAATTTAGGATTAGCCCCTACTACAACATTTAACTTAACTTTACTAAACTTATACAACCCTAATGTTTCGACGTAGCTCTCATAAAAAAATTGTGGACTGTAGTAAAAATGTTTAATTGCAAACCCAAACGTGAAAATATACAAGAACATAAATTGCGACTACTACAAATGCATGTCAAAGTCAAAGTGATGCAAAGCTTAAAATATATCGACGTCACTCATTCTTGCTTCTGCGCAATAACGACCTCCTCTGGTTTCCAGGATCGGACTCGACATCCTCCCCCCCTTGGAACGGCTGTTCAACATCTAGAGGCAGAGGACAGACCTTACGAACTGCTCTTGTGACTTCCGAATTCGGTGTTTTGACGCTGACCACCCGCACGATCCCATCTGAGCCAGGGTCAGGTGTGTGATTCTGCCTAGGGTCCACATTTGTGGGGGGCGATGCTCCTCCATTAACAACACTGGGTCGCCGACCTTGGGTTGGACCCCCTTGCTTGAACGCCATTTCGACCTTTCCTGCAGACTAGTGAGGTATTCTAGATTCCAACGCTCCCAAAATTGTTGCTGGATGCGACAGATCTTTTCATAACTCTTCAACGAATTGAATGCTCGTTGTGTCACCTCCTTTTCGGGTATTGCCACCAGCGCCTCGCCAATTAAAAAATGGCCAGGGGTCAAAACGGAATAATCATTGGGATCGGTACTCATAGTGGTAAGAGGACGAGAATTTAATACGCCTTCTATCTGACATAAGAGTGTATAAAAGTCCTCATATGTAAAATGAACATTATTAATTAATTTGTATAAGAGACATTTTGCCGATTTTACCGCTGCTTCATGCAAGCCACCCATGTGCGGCGAATTGGCAGGCATGAAGTGCCATTCGATATTATTTTTTGTGATAAAATTTTGCAATTCTTCATTTTTTGTTAATAAAGCCAACTCGTGCCTTATATTCTTTAATTGATTATAAGCTCCGACAAAATTTGTTCCGTTGTCCGAGTACAATTCTTTGGGAATGCCCCTTCTGGCTATAAATCGTTTCAATACTAGCAAAAAAGTGGAGGCAGTCAGGTCTGTGGCAAGCTCTAGATGTACAGCCTTGCTGACTCCGCAAACGAAAACACATAAGTAACATTTTATGAATTTTCTATTCCGTAATTTACTATCTTTAATTAGAAATGGGCCTCCGTAATCAACAGAGGAAGTATAAAATGGGCTTACGGCGTTAGACCTCATGGCTGGCAAATCTCCCATAAGAGGACTATAATTTAACGGTTTAGTACGAAAACAAATGATACACTTCCTCAATACTCTTCTGACAACATCTCGACCGCCTAGAATCCAGTACCGCGTTCGTATAGTTGCCAGGACTGCTTGAGCACCCGCGTGCAAGAGTCTCGCATGCTCCTGCTTTATTAATAATTCGACATATTTATGATTTTTTGGTAGTACGATGGGATGTTTGCTATTGTACGACAATTGAGAATTCTTCAACCTTCCCCCCACACGAATTACATTATTGTCATCTAGAAATGGGTTTAATTTTAACAATCTGCCTGCCCCACTCGCATTACCCACTTTCATGTTTTTTAATTCAGCCTGAAAGGCTTCTCCCTGTACTGCCTAGTGCCTTTACAACTACTAGCCCCGCCTCGGCCAACTCTCTACAGGTTAATACTCCTTTCGTTTTAATCTTGGCACAATTTTTGAAAAACCGCCTACACCATGCTAGCACACGAATTAGTTTAGTGAGAGTTGAAAATCTTTCGAATAACTCATAGCTTATGTTTACAACCGCGGTGAACACTGTGCTTGACGATCGCATCTCCAATGTTTCAGAAGTTTCATTTTTTACTTTAGAAGAGTACGTTATTTCGATGGATTCCAAAAACTCAGGGCCTTCAAACCAACGATTTTGCTGCAAAGTCTCGACAGAAACACCCCGTGTAACCAAATCCGCGGGGTTAAGTATACCGCTTACATGTGACCATTGACTGGCCTCAGTAAGCTCCTGAATTTTCCCAACGCGATTGGATACAAACGTTTTCCACGAATTCGCAGGCTTATTTACCCAGCATAGTACTATGTTCGAATCGGTCCAATAATGTTCTCTTGCGAATGCAAGCTTATGTTGGAATTCTGTGTAAAATATCCGAGATCGTAAGCGGGTTTACGGGCACTCGTAAGATCGGAACTAAAAAAGGCAATTCTGTGTCCGCCCGGATCTTACAAATTCTCGGAAGTCCCTACGGCTTGTCGTAAATTCTTACGGTGACAGATTATCTGACCTAAACTTATCCGAGCGCATCAAAATGAATAATATGCGCTTCTATTTACATATTGGTGCTCTTCTCGAAGAAGATAATGATCGGTAAGAATCAATATTTAAAAGCATAACGCAATTTTCATAAACAAACTTCATATAACATTAAAATTTGCGTATAATTATTTTTAAGTAATTTCATGAGAATAACGAAGAGACAGTTAAGGGACTCGCTTAATGTTTTTGAAACAAGCGAGAAAGACTTTAAACAAATGTTTCGTTTGGACAAAGTAAGTGTAATGGGTTTGATCGAGGAAATAGGCCCCCATTACCAAAACACAGGAAGTATTCCGCTTCATTTAAAGGTAATACCTAGGTATATTTTTATACATATCATTTTCAATACCTATGCTGTAATAACTACAAATTGGTACCTACAGGTACAGATACATAAGAAGGCGAAAGATGACGCATCCTTACTATTCATATTCTATTAATTTGTGCGCCACTGAGTGGGTTCTGCAGTCTGCGTATAGCCATTGTTTAAAAAATGGTATAGCCCGCTGTCGCCTTCTTATGTGCCGGTGCCAGTGCAATAATTACCCAAATTCGACAGGTTCTAACAACACTAAACTTTGTTGCCACTGGTTCATTTCAAAATCCTGTAGGAAGTAGCTGTTGGATTTCTTTGAGTCAGCCATCAGTTTCAAGAATAATACACGAAATAACATCTTTAATATCACAACATTTGTTGCCAGAATGGGTTCAATTTCCGACTGACTTCGAAACAAAAAATAATATTAAACAAGGGTAAAACATTAAGCACATAAGTATTTTAGATAAAACCTTCAACTTTATTCAGATTTTACAACAAGTGGAATGTACGTGGTGTTCTTGGAGTTGTAGATGGAACTCATGTTGAAATTCTTGCTCCACCTACGAATGACGTTCACCATCCCCCTTTTGTTTATATAAACAGAAAAGGAAAACACTCAATAAATGTTATGCTCGTATGTTAAAGGATAAGACGTATAGAAAATGAATATTAATTATTTATTTTGTAAAATTAGATTTCGGATTCTAACACAAAAATTATTGCTTGCAATGCCAGATATCCTGGGTCCGTCCATGATTCTGCAATATGGCAAATGAGTAATATTAAAACTTATTTAAAGCGGGAGTATGATAATGGAGATAAGTCCACGCATTTACTTGGTATTTAAACATATTTAACAATGTTATAATAGAAAAAAAACAATTTTTTTTACCAAATTTACAGGTGATAGCGGATACCCCCTTGAACCATGGCTATTTACTCCCTTTTCGAATTTTGAGCAAGGAAGCCCAGAAGAACGTTTTAATAACCAATTCAAGACGGCTCGAAATGTTATTGAAAGAACCAACGGCATATTAAAAGGACGTTTTAGATGTTTGTCAAGGCACAGAGTTCTTTTATACCATCCGAGTAGAGCAGCTAACATCATTTATTCTTGCTGTGTTCTTCACAATATTGCTCTCCGGGCAAGGATTCCTCTTCCGGAGGAAGAAATAGAATATAGAGACGAGATTGGCATAGGTAAACGTTTTCATGTACATCATTACCTCAAATAAAATGTACAATGTTTTTAGAAGGCAATTTGGAGTACAATGATGTTCTGCAAGAAGGGAGGGCTACAAGAGCTAGATATATAAGAAATAATTTATTATTATAAAATACAAAAAAAAAACTCCAAGACATTTATGTTAAAAAAAAGACTATTAATCAAAATCAAATTTAAAGTTTTGGTTTTCAAATTTATATTTTGCCACTTCAAATTTAAGTCGAAGAAGCTCGTTTTTGTTTTTTTCCTTTTTACACTTTATGTACTCTTCGGAAAATTGTTTTACAATGGAACCTAATTCTTCAATATTTTTTTCGGATTTGTTCATTGTATTCAATAAGCTTTCTGTCACAATCGACAATGGCTTTTGCCGAGGTAGAGTTTTTGTCCCAGGTTTTTGCGGTGGAACGGGTGTAACAGCCGGTTCAATTTCAGGTGGTACTATTACTGGTGTATCATCTTCAACCGGCATTGGTTCAGTAATTTCCTCCTCAAGAGGTATTATCATGGTATCTGAATCTAATAAAATTCCATCGAAGTTTGTAACACCCAACGCACCGGTTACGGTTACTTTTCCCCATACACAGAGTGCCCGTTCTTCCATGTCTGTTAGTGTTATACTGCTTTGAGGACCTGATCCAGTCTTTAAACGGTGCTCATTTAATTTCCTATATTTGTTTTTCACAAAGTACTTCCAATCTGTAAAACGCTAAAAAAGATGGTTATTTAAAAAAAGCGATGAAGAGATTTAAAATAATGCTACAAAACTTGTGCTGAAGTTTGCTGTATAAATCATATCGTTTTTACCTTTTTCCAATCAGCTACAGTCAGCTGAGGCCCATCTGGATCAGAATTTAACTTTTCTGACATTTCACCCCATTTAATTTTCGATGTAATTTACATCTAGCGATGGGTTGATTGTATTGGATCGCATATGGTAGTCATTTTCCATGTAATATAAGTAAATATTATATTGATTAGTTGTTGTGTTCTTGGTTCTCTTTCTCTTTTTGTTTTCTAAGCTAAAAAAATGTAAATTGTCATTTTTAGGTTAGGATATTAATTTTTTTTAAACAAAGAAATAACATTGTAAATGTACAATGTAATCTTCAATAATAAAATCTTACCTCATAATGCTACTCTATATTCAATTTTACTTCAGTAAACTGTCCAAACGGCAAGGAAACCAAGGGATAAATGGTGTACACTACCGGCTTGTCAATGAAAACAATAGAAGTGAAGTTGGTTGCGATCGGAACGGCTCGGTAACGGCGACTCGTAACGCTTTTCATTACGAGTCGGCGCACAGAATTGCAAATTTTAAGGTTTTGTAAAATTTCGCTTACGATCAACTTATAAGCTACGGGCGTACGGTTTTACGGTTTAACGATTGCATATGTACAGAATTCCAGCATTAATGTTCTTTTTTACGGTCTCAACCAATTGAACCAACAACACAGGGGGGCGGGACACTTCGCCGAATGCCCACAACGCCGACCCGATTTTTGGATGGTCCATATCGCCGACTAGGGACACTACGCCGACGGACACTACGCCGACAGTGCCCACATCGCCGACAAGTGGACAAGGGACACAACGCCGACCATGCCCACATCGCCGACAGGTGTACAAGGGACACAATGCCGACCATGCCCACTTCGCCGACGGACACTACGCCGACCGTGCCCACATCGCCGACAAGTGTACAAGGGACACTACGCCGACCATGCCCACATCGCCGACAAGTGTGCAAGGGACACTAGGCCGAACGTGCCCACAACGCCGACTATTCGGAAAAAAATTACTAGGGACACTACGCCGACAGCGACCGCATCGTCGACAATGGAGAAGTTTCCAGTTTTTTGTTATTAATTAATAATGACAATTCCTCCACAAATGGCAAAGTTACAAGACTTTAAAGTTGCGATTGGAAAAATAATTTCGAGACGTCACTTCATCTAGTTTGCTAAGAGCATGCCTTGACCATGCGATCAAAAAAGAGTGGAGTCGCCTATGAATCGCCTTTACAAATTTTTGTTTGTATGGGAAATCGTATTTCGTGGAATTACGTAAAATGACGTCACCGACACTGCCGTTCCGCGCTGAATACCTAAACTTAAATAATATATTTTTTTCACTACTAGCGTCTGATGACATGATTATTAACCTTTTTTCCACTTGTAAAGTAGGCTTTCTCGGCATTTGTTCAAAGTGGTTAATAATGTGGACATTATTAACTAGTAGTCAATAATGAGAACTGTCACGCTGTCACTTTTAGAAAACACAACCCGAAATTTCGCTCAATAAACGTTTGGACAAGTTCTCTAAAATGAATAATTGCCACCATTCGCAATTTCCAGAGAAGTTATATACCTAAAATTATCACATTTTGAAAAAATTCGAACGAAATTACTCTTTGAAAATATCTCAATGACAGAACAAAATACGGCCTGTTTGACTTGTACTTCTACGCACTTGATTGACATGTTAAATTAATAAACAACAAATTCTGTCCAACCGTTCACTTTCTTATCAACAGAATATGTTAATTTAGAGGACTTCAAGCGCTAGTAGTGAAAAAAATAGTATATATACCACGGTAGAGAAGTCTATTATTGCCTTCGCACCTTACACCCCTCGGCGCAAGCGCCTCGAGATGTAATCTTGGTGCTCAGGCAATAATACTATACTTCTCTACCTTGATATATAATGTACTATTTTATTATACCTGAACTACAATCTCCGTTTTAAACACTCAAATGCGTGCGAAAAAGGGCCTTTAAAACACACGTGCTTTAAAGTTGCTAAGTAACGATACTTCAAGTATGACTTTTAAAACTGTCATCTGGATGAAATAAAAAAATCATCTTAGGTCGCTTTCTGTAAATGCAGAACATTTCTTTGGCTTTTGTACCTATCCTTTGGTTGAAGCTTTCACAAACGCGCGTAATTTAAGGTATGCTTCCAAATCTGTTCCACTTTTTAATCGCAGCATTGCTTTAAGTTTTGAATGAATGCACCAAAATATAGAAGATTTAAATACCTTTGACATTTCCTTCATATATGCCAGCATTGTGATGTATTATCACCGACCTGGTGATAACGCATAAAATTCGGTACACGAATTTGTTTAATTATGTTTAATAGATTTTAGCGTTTTCAATATAAGGCCTAACGATACATTCCTCCAGATACAATTTATATATATAGATAATTGTGAAAAAAAATATAACTATACTTATTTCTAGTACACAAAGACAATGCATAAAAAAATACGATACCACACTCACCAATTCACCCTTCCCTTGCATGCAAAACACCAAGTGACACACATTCAAAGAAAATTATTCAAGAATTATATCGCCCAAAACTATTTGGCGGTTATTTTCAAGGTAACACAAAAAATCTAAATATGCAGGCTTTTACAATACCGAGCTGTCTGTAATTTAAGGGTATCTCTCCATCGCTAGATATCGTTAAAGGTGCTACTCTCGTATGTGGTTTGAGAGTGGTGGTGACCAGAACCCAAGGTGTAGATTGCCGTATGAAGTGAATGAACGAGACCCCGAATCGTCGCGGGAGCGATCTTGACAATCCCCTGATGAGTTTTAATCCTTCCGGCGACTACGGCTTTTCCTGGTTCCCAATACCGTGCTTAGCTTCCACAAACCCCAACTGACAGTGACTGGCGGCAAACCTTCAAAGAACTACGGTTGTTTCGCAAACCGCGAATTCACGTCCGATGCTTCCCAAACTGAATTAGGCAATAATTATTTTAAACTTTAAAGGCCTAAAATAAATCGTAAATTAAACCCTCGAATTATTAATACCCCCCCCCCTCGTTTTGGTTTGAACCAACTTACCGCACAAACAGCGGCCTGCCTTCTGATTTTTTTTTATTTTAAACGGCTTATGACGTTGTTAATAATTAAAACGAATTTAATTTCGTATTAAATACTATAGGTACTCGACATAATCGGTACGATGCGCACAGCAAAATTAAAATGTCCTTTCGAAAACCCACAAATGATTACAATATCCCCAAGGTCCCGCTATAATCTTGCAAACCAGTCTACCTATTTACGACAAACAATTTCAAGCTATACGAGGGGCATTCAAAAGATATACAAATTAGACATGATCTGTAACA